TTATTAATTATTATAGCAAGAATTATATTAAGAATAAAAGCCATTATTATTAAAGTTATCTTAATTAAAGTTACTTTAATTAAAGTTACTATAGTTAAAGCCTTTTTAATTATATTTATTATAGCTTAATAGCTTATTATTTTAATATTAATAATTAATATAATATGCTTTATTTTCTTTATTATTAGCACTTTAATTATTTTTATTATAATATTAATTAACATTATATTAAAGATTAAGTTTAAGAAAAGATTTTAATTTTAAGAATAATGCTTTGCATAAATACTTAAGATTAAAGAATATATATTATAATTTTAATATGCTTATATAAGTATAAATAATTATTATTTATAAAAAGTTATTCCCTTAATAAAGTGCATTAAGTACTTATTAATATAGTTATAGTTTATTAAATATTATAATGAAAACCTTTTAAGGGTGCTTATTAATGTTTTTTAAGTTAACATGTATTTTATTAAATATAATTAAGGTTTAATTATAAAAGTATTATTAATAATTAACTTTTATATTAAAGTAAGCTTTAAGCTTTAAGTATATATTATAAATAAAGGACTTTATATTAATAAAATAAATATAATAAATTTTAGCATAGTTTTTAAGAATTAAGGGAAATATTATATAAAATTATTTAAGTTTAATATTTGCTATTTAATAAATATTAAAGAAGATCCTTATTTTATTATTTAGCAAATTATATAATTTACTGCCTTAATTTTTATTTTTATTTTATATCTTACTAAATTATATATTATTATTAATATTAAAAAGATTATTTATTATTTCTTAAGGGGATAAGTTTTAATATAAATTATATGCTTATAAAGGTTTTAATGCTATAATAAATAATAGTGTTAAGTATAAAGTCTTTATTAACTTCTTAAGGAAAATATTTATAAATTATTTTTTAAGTTATAAAGTTTTTAAATATTTTAATAAACTTAGTTTTTATTAAGATAATATTTCTTAATATCTTAAGGGAGCCCTTATATTTAATTAATTAAGGGTTTCCTTTTTATAAGATAATAATTATAATACTTACTATAAAAAAATTAATTAAATAAAGTTTTATCCTAATTTTATAAATAATTAAGAATAAAAAGGTTATAATCTTTAAAATTCTTTATTATTTTTAATAAAGGAAATTAATTATTTTAAGTTTTAATAAAAAGAAGTAAAAGCCATAAATAGCAAAATTATATTAAAAACTAAGATTTCTTAAATCTCTTAAATAATAAGTATTTCTTAAGTATTTACTATCTTTAGCTTTTAAGATTAAAGCTATTAAGTATAAAACTTAAAAAGTTTATGCATATTAGCCGCCTTATATAATTCCTTTTCTTGCTATAAAGGATATTTATTATATATAAGCAATACTTTTAAGTTAATATATTGCTTATTAACACTTCCTTTAATATTAATTCCTTTTATTTAAAGGAATTTCTTAAAGTTTTAAATAATAGTTAATTTCTTAAATATTATTATATTTTAAAAAGCAAAGTTTTTTATAAAATATTAAAATAAATTATTATTTATATTTTAGCATTTTATTATTTCCTTTATAAACTTAAAAATAATAGCGTTTACCTAATTAATTATATTATTTACCTTTATTATTAATTTATCTTAATAATTAAAATTAACTTATTAACTTTAAAACCTTTTATTAAGGTTAAAAAATAATTAAAGTTTTTATATAAAAGCATTATTAATATTTAAGAATATTTCCTTAGCATTGCTATTAAATTTAGCCATTTTATTAAGCTATTAAAATATTTAAATAATTTATATATAAAGGAAAAGAAAAAAGGTAATTAAAAAAATATAATAAGGTTATTTTAAAATATAAAAAGAAAGTATTAATTATATAATAAAAAAGTATTTATTAAAAAATATTTATTAACTTATATAAATATAGGTTATTATTTATGTTAAAGTAAAGTAACCATAAGTATTCTTGGCGTTAACTACGTAATAAAACGCGCCATATAGTTAATAAATTTAAGGCATTATTAAAAACTTATTAATTAATAAGTTAAATCTTTATAATAAAAAGGTTAAGGTATTATTAATTTCTTTTTATTAATTTTAATTATAATATAATTATTAATACTTAATTAAGTAAAATTTCATTATTAATAATTGCCTATCTTTATAATATTAATATTAATTATTTAATATAAATATTGCAACTTAATTATAATAGTTCTTATTATTAATAATTACCGCTTAATTAATAATAATATAAATTTATTGCTTGCTTACCTTGCTATTTATAACTACCCATAGGCAATTATTAATTAATATTAGCTGGGTTAATATATATTGGTAATAGCAGATTGGTTATATTTAAATTGGCTATATAAAAGAAAGGAGGGTTGCGGCCGTAGGTTGCAGAACCTCCTTTTGGTTATAAACTATCTAGGGGTGGTCACGTGCTGCCGCACGTAACCCTTGCCTGCCGGTGCTTTAGTGCCAATTGCCCATAGTGCCTATCGCCCATAGTGCCTATCGTGCCCAGTGCTGCTGTCCCCCTATGGCACGTCCATAACCACAAAAAAGTTAATAAAAATATAATAAAGATATTATTAATTAATTAATCTTTTAAAATTAAGGTTTAAGAAAGCATAAGTTTACTTTATAAAGAAAAATAAAATAAAAAAAGAAAATTAAGATTTTATTTCTTAATAACTCTTAAAAATATGCTTAAAAGAGTTTTTAATATTCTTAATAAGTTTTATATTTAATCTTTAAATAAAAAATTCTTTTAAATAAGCTCTTAAATTAAGTTTTTATAATAATTTTTTTATAATTATATTTTAATTTTATTATATTTAAGTTTTTTAAAGGTATTTTTAATTTTAAAATTTATTTCCTTAAAAGTATAAAATAAAGGTAATAATAATTAATAAAAAGCTAAATATATTTTTTTTATTAATTAATTTTTTAATAAAAATATTTATATATTTTATTTTATTAATATAATTAAAATAATATATTTTTATTTCTTAATTATTTTCTTAATGAATTACTTTTTAAATACTTTTAATTTTAATATAATAAATATTATAATATTTTTAAAGATTAATATAAGTTTATTATAATATAAAAATATTATTAATTTTTTAAATAAGGTTTTTAAGGAATAAATTAAATTTCTTAATGTATTTTATTTAATAAGTTTTTAATATTTAAAAATTACTTAATTAAAAGTAATATATATTATAATTACTTATAAAAAGTTATTTAAATTAATAAATCCCTTAATTTTAAGTAATTTATAAATATAAGCTTATAAATATAAATTTATAAAGTTTTAATATTATTATTATAATTTAATATTTAATTTCTTTATTTTTTTTAAATATTATTAATATTAAGTTTAAAAGATGTTTATTATGCTTAATTTAAAAAGTATAAGGTTATTTTTAATATTTTAAATTATTTATTAAATAAAAAAGTATTTTATATTTATTATTTTAATTAAATATAAGGAAAAAATTAATCTAAATATTATTTTTTATATTTATTCTTAAATTTTTTATTTTTTATTAAATTTAATTACTTTATTAAAAGTTAAGATAACTTATTATTAAAGATATTAATTATATTTCTTTTTAATTTATTAAAGAATAAGGAAAAGAATAAAGTAAATATTATTTTATTTTTTAAGAGTTTATTATTATTTAAATGCTTTTAATACTTATTATATAAAGCTTTTTAAATATTTCTTTTTTTCTTTTTATATTATATAAATTAAGAATTTAATTTTAAGATTATATTTAATTACTTAATAAGGGTTATATTTAATATATTAAGGTTTATAAATTTTTAATACTTTTTAATTTAATAATAAGATTATAATATAATAAATTAAATAAAAAAGGAATAAATATTTAAATAAATTACTTAATTAATAAGGTTTAAAAAAGTATTTATAATTATTATATAAATATATACTTAAAAATAAAAGAAAATAAATAATATAAAATAAATATAATTTAAATATACTTTATATAACTTATTTATAACTTATAAAAAGAAAAGATTATTTTATAAATTAAGTTTATAATTATAAAAGATTATAAATATTATAAGAAGTTTAAAAGCATAATTATAAAAGCGTTTATTTCTTAAGAGTAGTTTAAAAGGAGGAAATAAAAGAAATTTGGCTATTTAAGCATTTTAGAAAGTGGTTGTAAACCAGGGTTAGGGATGTGCGTGCAACATATATATCCTTGAGCGGGTTAGGTGGTGCTGGGTCACTCTTGAGGCTCTTCTGGAATTCTGCTCTCAGCTTGAACATAGGCTGCAAAACCCAGGTTTTGTAGGCTAGAATATCCGTTTCTTCTTTCGGGTCTCGGACGACGTTGAAGAGATACGGGGACTCCAGCTTCCCACTCGACTGATTTACCTTGGGCTCCCAGACAACCTACCAGGGGGAGGGGGGTTTTTTGTCAACATCGCATCAGTATATCAATGGAATAGTGACATAGTAATGACATGCAATCAAGGTTCTAACATGCTTTTTTTGTATGTATCTTGCATGACTTATACGTCATTAATATATAATCATTCCTGATATACTGTGACATGTTAATCCTTAACATAATGTTAACCCTTGATATAGGGGGCAAAAAAAACCTTTTTTTTTCTTATCCCCAACTTAACTACTTATTTACTCTTTACTAACTTAACTATTTACTATAAAAGGATTTATATAATAGTAAATATAATTAAAAATAAAGTTATGTTTAAAGTTAATAAGGTTTAAATTAAAGCTTTTAATATAAATTTATAATAACATTAGCTAATATAAAGTTAACATTAATATAAAGATAATATAAACATAATTTAAAGCCTTAATATAATTTCCTTTTAATAGTATTATAATAGCCTTTTACTAGCATTTCGCTAGAATTACGAAATTTTGATTAAATGTCAAAATATGAGTGCATTGAGTGACCCAGTCAGAAACCCCCCTACCCCCTGGTACGAAGGTGAAGCTTCCAGTCTTTCCACTTCATGGCGCGTAGTTCATCCTTGATATAGAACAGGAAGCCTTGACGAGGTGATGGAGTTTCCGAGGGCTTCAAGAAAATTTTTGTCTGGTCGACACCGTCTATCGGCCGGTCTGACGGAACCATAGTGCGCGTCGTGGACAGAATGGTGGTGAAAATATCCGTAACATGAACGATGCTGTTACTGGTGACACCACAAGGGACATGGCCTGGCCAACGAATGATGAATGGGACCCGAAGACTACGCTCCATAGCTGTGTGGTATGTCCCTGACCATGGGCCAGCAGTTCCCCGGTGTGGTTCTCGGAATTCCGGACCGTTGTCGGAGGCAAAGATGAAGGCTGTGTTCTCTCGGAGGCCCAGATCGTCGATGTGGTCAATGATTTCACCAACACGGTAGTCCATTTCGGCCATTGAGTCTGCAAAATCACCCTGACCCGTCTTACCGGCGAAGTCTTTGTGCGGCAGAGTCGGAAAGTGCAAATGAACCAGTGGGTGGTACAAGAAGAATGCCTTCTCGGCCTTGGCCTGCCGAGACAACCAGCCTTTGGACTTCTCGACCAGCATCTCGTCGATGAGCCTTCGCTTCTCCAAGTCGTAGACGCAAACGTTCTCCGAGGGTTCCTTTGCCTTGCCCTTCATTATGTATGGTAGTTCTGCTACCTCGGGGGTATAGCCGAGAGCGCTGGTGAACTGCGTCTCGTCTGTTGTTCTCGGGATTCCGAACCATTCGTTAAACCCTCTGTCAGAGGGGTACCGGCCGGGAACGTCACCCAGGTGCCACTTGCCGTGTTGAGCGGTTGCGTAGTCGTTGTCCCGGAGGCATTCGGCAAGAGTACGCTCCCATGGAGTCAGGCCTTGCCGGAACCCGGCAGGGACCGACTGGCGGCAGCCCGTACGAATGGGGTGTCGGCCGGTCATAAGGGCGGAACGGGTCGGGACGCAGTCGCTCTCAACATTGAAGTTGTGCAGCAAGAGACCCTCCGACGGCCACCCCTGAACCCTCCCTCACAGCGCCGAATAGCAGAGATCAACCGTCGCTCATCACTGCGATAAGTTGGGCCGAGTAATTCCAAGGAATCCACACGTGCTTTGCCCTTGATATGGCGACATCACGTTAATGGGCGATGTACGCAACTAGTTTGGAGGTGTCTTGAATCTTCGATAGTCTGAACACATGGACACCGGCTTGAGATAACGAATTGTATTTAAGATGTGGTCCGATCAGCTTTCGCCGCTACACTTGCTTCGAAGCTCAGCATTACGCTTCCGAATTTGTCGTCGATGATGTAGTTTTGTGGTGGTCATGTCTCAACACATCCGCCAAGGGTCTCCTACACCTGGACAAACCCTCCGTGACACTGAGAAGATGTCGTCAAAAGTCTCGAACAGCACAGAGCCTGAAGATAAATGGTCACCGCAAGAAGAAAAGGCTGCGTTGCGAAAGTAAGTCACCTGATCCTAAATGTGAGCACACGCATTAAGCGGTACCAGGCTTAACTGCTATCTTATGCCTTTACTCGTTGCCGGCTTCTTCGTCCTGCAGCTCGACCGCAGCAACATTAGCAATGCGATGACAGATACTTTAACTGAGGACCTGAAAATCACCAAAGACGATGTCAACGTGGGTTCTCAACTCATGTCAGCCGGCATACTTGGCTACAGAGGAAAATAGATGTACCCACACCTCTGAGCATGGGTTTGGTGCTTATAGGCCAGAGATGCCAACTGGCATTGTCATCGCAGAGATTCCTTCCAACCTCATCCTGCAGCGACTCGGCGCTCCCGTCTGGCTGACCTTCCAGATGGGCGTCTGGGGGACTATTGCTCTGACCCAGGCCTGGTGCACCAATACTCACTCTTTCCTGGCCACGAGATTCCTCCTTGGGATATGGGAAGGGGGCTACATCCCAGGTGGGCAGTACATGCTAGCTTTGTTCTATACTCGCGAAGAGTTGGCGCTACGGACGGCAATATTCTACTTTGGAAACTACTCAGCCACAGCCATCGGTTCGCTGATGGCGGCTGGGATTCTGAACATGAGTGGGACTCTGGGGCAATCTGGCTGGCAATGGTTATTCTTAATTGAAGGAGTAATCACGCTGGTTATTTTTCTTGCCTTCGTCATACTCCTCCCCCAGAGCCCCGGCCGCGCAGCTCCTATCCACGGTTGTTTCGACTTTTTCACCCCCCCCCCCCCCCGCCAACGCCAGATTCTTCGAGCCCGTATCATGGCAGATGTCGAGACAAAGGGTGCCGACAAAGCTCATATCACCCTCAGGTCTTTTGCCGAGGCAATAAAGGACTACCGTCTCTGGCTCCACATGCTGCTTAATCTTGTCGCCTTGTCACCTAAGGGCGGACTGCAGCTTTACGGTCCCAAGTAAGCAGCTTTCTGATACAATCTTCACCCCATCAAGAAGCAACCCCTCCTACCTGTAGCCTGTGTCTCGAAGAATTTCATAAGGATGCAGATTTTGAGACAGGTCATGACCACACATGGCCCTATTCCTCCTTGCATTTGTATGGAAATACTTCCTTGGTGCTTTGACAGCTGACTCTGAATGATGACAGTATCATCAAGAACCTTGGCTTCTCTCGGACTAATGCAAATCTTCTCAATGCTGTCAGCAGTGTTCTTGTCATCCTTCTGTCATGGCTCATCTCCTTCGCTTCGGACAAGACGAGATGGCGAGGCCCATGGTGCATTGTAGCTTTTTCCTGGTCTATAATCTTCCATATACTACACTAAGCAATAATTTCAAGTTTTTGGAGACTTCTATATGTGGTTAGTGGTAGCGGCATGAGGTTCCCTTGAGTTAAATGAACTCTACACATAATTCAGCCTTCACAGTATTCAAGCACATACGGCCATAGATATAGGAAAATACGGGATCCCGTCCGCTCTCCCATAGTCAAGCCTATAATCTCTGGATTAGTAGTTGGGTCGGTGACGACCAGCGAATACCCGGTGCTGTATGTTTTTGATGTTTTGTTCCCCTAATTCGGTGGACATTAGAACACGTTTCAGTAGACAATGCAACTCATTATTTCGCTAGAACTATTCTATGCTAGGCGGGCTCTGGTGGACTTTTTGGGCAGCAGCTAAACCCTTTTTTCTCATCACCTCTCCTAGTTGCTACGTCCAGTGACGATTCAACCTTCGGCTCCACCACATCAACCACAGGGATCTACTTTGGTAACGTGCGGCCCACAGGGAACCAAGCACCAATATAGCAATAATCCATATTCCTAGTTTTAACGCATCCATTAGCACCGTACTGTGCTTCCATTTCTCGTCACATTCATCTCCGAGTACTTTGAGCAGGGCTTGCTTAAAGATAGGATTGATTTGCTTCTTAGCCGTCAACAGCGGCATATATCTGTTGGTAGGTTTCTTGTATATACGATAATCGTATGGGAAGCAATCGTGTATTGGTATTGTTCTATCTAAGTTCTGAGAGGTTACGTGCCCCGGAGGGAATAACTAAAGTAGCCTTTTAAGTGCAAGGGTTATACTTGCTAATACTTATAGTTTTTCTTTTCTTTTAATAAGTATATATAATCTTTATTATAATTAATTTAAAATTATAATTCATTATATATTATATATATATAATCTTTATTATAAGAAAGTATTGCTAAAAAGGCTTAAAATTATAACTTATAAGTTTTAAAGTAAGTTTTAATAATCTTTGCTATTATATCATCCTTTAAATTTATAATCTTTATTATTGCATTATTCTTTAAACTTATAATTTTTATTATTATATTATTTCTTAAATATTATACTTATTATTTTTAATACTTAGCTTTTAGGGTTGCTTTTTTATAAAGATTATTAATTTTTATATAAAAGCCTTAATTTTAAATTTTTTCTTTATAAAGAAAGTTAATGCTTATAAAGTTAATGCTAAATTTTTTAGTTTATATTTATTTTTATTATATATCTTTATAATATAAATATTATTATCTTTATCTTTATTTTTATTATTAAAATATACTTAATATTGCTTTAAATTAATTTCCTTTAGCTACTTTTTATTCTTTTAAAATTAAGCATTGCAAGTAGCTTAATTATTTATTAGCTTCTTTTCTTGCTTTTTATTATTCTTTTTAATTTCCTTAATAATTATTTTTTACTTAAATTATTTAAGTAATAGCGTATATTTCTTAATAAGTCCTTTTATATATAGGCCTTATATATATTTATTAATAATTTAATATAAAAAGTTTTAAATTTAAGTTAATATAATAATTTAATTCTTTAATAGCTAAATCTTTTTAATTTAATATATATAAAAGATATTTAAGATTAAAATTCTTATTAAATTATTTATTATAAAAATTATAATAATTTAATATTTAAGATAATAATTATCTTAATAGTTCTTATTATTAAGGATATTATATAATTTTATATTAAGAGTTTTAATGCTTTTAATATAAATATATAGCTTTTTAATTATATTATTAAAAGATATTTACTTATCTTAATATTAAAAGTTATTAATAATTTAAATAATAATTATTATAATAGCATTATTTAAGAAAAGTATTTTAATTTAAGTTATAGCTATAGCCTTTAGCTTATTAATTTTAATAATTTCTTAGGAGTTTATTTTAATAAGCATTTTATTCTTTTTAATGCTTAATATAAAAGTAAAGTTAAAGGTGGTTTTTATAATCTTTATTAAGGTTTTATTAACTTAGTTTTAATTATCTTTATTATTAGCAATAATTAAATTGCTATTAATATTAAGTAAATAAGAGTTATTATTATTAATATTTTTATTAATATTTATTAAATAAGCATTATTAATAATAACCTTGTTATAAGAATTAATAAGATTAATAAGCTTATTTTTATTTTTATTAATTAAGGTAATTTTAACCCTTTTTATAACTTTAATAATAATTTTAATCTTTATTTTATTGCTTATTAAGATTATAATTATAATGTTTATTTTATTAATTAAGGTTATAATTATAATATTTATTTTATTAATTAAGGTTATAATTATAATATTTATAAGGGAATTTTAATTTTATTTAAGAGTTATAATAAGGCTACCTTTAATATTAATTATATTAATGATAATTATAATAATAATTATATTAAGTATATTCTTAGCGTAAGCAATAAATATAATGTTTATTAAATAATTTTACTTGCTATTATTATCTTTATAAGATATATTAATAAAAGTATTAAATAACTTTTATAAGTTATTATTAATATTTTTTATTATAATAAAAAGGAAAAAATTTTATAGAAATTTAATAATTAAAATAAATATTTATAATGTAAAACCTTATAATTATTATATAATAATTATTAATTTATTCTTTAGTTATAAGAAAAGTTAATAAGTTATAAATAAATTTAATAAAAGTTAGTTTTAATATTATTATTAATAAATAATAATAAAAGGTAATAATAATAATAAAGTTAATTTTAAAATAATAATTATTAATAATATTAATAATTATAAGATTATTCTTATATATAATAAGATATTAAAAAGGTTTTAATTAAAATATAAAAAGTTAAAGTTTATATTAAGGGTTTAAGTTTAAGAGGTATAAGGTTTTATAACTAGCGATAGCAAGATTAAAAGGAAAAGGTGCTAATAGTAAGTTACTCCTTTCTTAATAAAAAGGGGCTACTTTAAGTTTCTTAATTAACTTATTTACTTATATATAAAGCTTATTATTATTAATAAGCTTTTATAATGTAATATTTAAAGTTAATTTTATTATTATATTAATAAGATTATCCTTTTTATTTATTTACCTTACTTTAATAATTTCTTTTATTTTATATAACTCTTATAATAATATAATATTAATTATAAGGCATTTATATAAACTATATAAGTTTATATAAATAATTAAAGGTATATTTAATAATAAGAATTATTTTATAGCTATCTTAATTATTATAGCTAGGGAAATTTTAATATTTACTTTATTTATTATATTATAAATTTTACTTATTAGCATGCTTTAAGTAATATATTTATACTTTATGAATAATTAATGGAAAATATTGCTTATTATTATAAATTCCTTAATTTCCTTATAAGTTTTATTTATAAGAATAATAATATATTTAAGTTAAAATATTAAGTTTTAATTATTTATAAATAATTTATTTATAAATATAAAAAGTTTTATTATTTTAAGATTTAAAGGCATATATTTAATTCCTTATATAACGTTATTTATTTATTATAATAATTATATATTTAAGCTCTTATAATTTCCTGCCTTTAAATTTTGCATTTATATAGCTATTAAAAGATTATATAAAGCTTTTAATTAATAAATTAAAGCTATATATACTTTGCAAGCTTTTTATTTAAGGTATCTTTAAAGAGCATTCTTAATTATTACATTAATAAGGGTAAGTTTATTAGCTTATCCCTTTTATTAAATAGTAATTAAGCTAATGGTATTTATAATTATATAAGCTTTATTATAATTTATTAAGTTTTTAGGTATTAGCTCTTATTTTAATTTTCTTTATAGTTTTATAGCTTTTATCTTAATCTTCTTTTTATCCTAGAATTTTAATATAAATAAAATTAATATATTATTTATTTATATGCTTATTATCTTAAAGAGTTATATAAGCTTTATAATTATTAAGTAAGGATTATATATAAAGCAATTTATTTTAAGCTTTTATTAATAATATTTTTAATATATATTAAATTAATAAACGCTGGATTTTTCTATGCTATATAAGGGTTAAATAATATAAATAATTATGCTTAAAAGGTATTTATTTTTTAATTTCTTTAATAATTTTATAAGGATTATTTTATATAGTTTTAACTTTACTTAAGGGTAAGCTTAAGTAATATCTTAAAGTATAATAATAATAATAATAATATTTTATTCACATAAAGCTACAATATATATATATATATATATATATATATATATATATAAAGCTTGCCAATTTAGCATGCAATCCCTTTACAGATTTACCCATACTGGAAAAACCGTGCCCTAGAGTTAAATAAAAACCAGTACGCTTCTTAATTCCTCTAATTAGGAGCTCCTTCCTTAACTTCTTTTAAGATTTATAGAGCCCTTCCTTACTCCTCTCTCTTAATAATCCTTTCTTTTAATTTTAATTTTAATAAGAACCGCTTTTTATAAGCAAATCTCTTATAATTATTTAATAAGGGGTTATTACTTCTTTATTAAGAGTTGCAGCTACTTTAATGCAAAGTTATAAAGCTATCTTTATTAATGCAAAGCTTTTAATAAAGCTAATTAAGGTTTATAATAAGGCTTATTTATTAATTAATTTAAAGGCCCCTTGTAAAAGGGCCTTATTATAGGGTGCATTTTAAGGCATTGCTAACCTAAG